AAACCAAGTGCAGACCAAAGGAGGGGGTGAAGGAGCTGACCGGTCAGAAAAGGCTTCACAGTCACGGGGGGGTCCACTGAGGGGAATTTCTTCAGGCAAAGAGGAAGGGCCTAAAGAGGAGAACCTGGCAGCTGAGAGCATCCTGGATACTGTCCTGGGCTGTGCAGGCTGGAAAGAGAGGCCACAGAGCAGGGGCATCTGAGGAGGGGCTCTCACTGCAGAGGAGCAAAGTGACAGGCCAGGAGAGGTAGAGAGAAGTCACAGGAGCACTGGAACCTGGGGACACCCCAGCAAGTCCTCACTTCCTCCTTCACCAGGAAAGGGGGAACTAGGAAGAAAGTGTGTCAACGTTTTCAGCCCCGCCAGGCAAGAGAGCGCGATGAAAGTGCAGTGTGGCCATGCCCCTCCAGATGTAACTGCATCCTTCATTGCAGGAGAGCATCCATGGCCATGCTACAACCAAGCACATGCAGTGCACTTCAGATTGGGTTCAAGAGCAAGGTCTGCGAGATACAACCTTCTCCGCACAGGTGGGGCAGAGTTCCAAAGTCTACTGCAATCTCCCAGAAACAGGGAGGGAGAATGGAAAGTTAACTCCAAGCCCCTTTCCCACAGCACTTCATGAGAAGTTCAGTGAGGCGTCAAGCCTGCCCACAAATCTTATCAGCCTCCTCTGACAGCACCCAATATACGGCTGTCACTTTGAGATACAACTCCTGCTGCGGTAAAATTAATTCCCAAAGAGAAAAACAGGTTGACGAATGAGACTTTAACAACGAATTCACTGTAAACAGCTTTTACCCAGATGAATTCTGATTGAAATATTGCACACGCACAGCCGCCTGCACGCAGCCTCTCATCAGCCCTCTCCACCGTGGGCAGACCTGCAACTAGCTCCACAAACACAGAAGACACGGACCACCAGAATGAACTTCCTCGGCATCCAGACATACCTTCAAACCACACCTTTAAATATTTCGATTCCCTGCAGGCTGCAAGCTGATTTAAAGCACAGTGGCTGGTATAGAGGGCAGGCGATCCTGTCTGTGGGAGGGAGGAGGTCACTGGGCCATCAGGAACCGTGTGCCCACCTTCATCAGGTCCTTTGGCAACGCTCCAGATGAAAACCACTTGTTTGTTTTCTGTGGGCCGTGCACCCAGTTATGGGCTGCTAATGTCTGATCTGTCCATCTTTTTCACACACACAGTTTGCAGTGCTGTCAGTTCCAGCTTCTGTGGGCCTATGTGTAATCCAACTATTTAAACAGAAACCCGAATCAGTTGGTCTGATAAGGGATTTGAAGCCCACAAATGAAAATCCTTTATAATGAACTACCCCTGTTAACACATTCAAAATGACTTAGAATTTCTTGGAGTAAAAATTTCAGCTTAAATCAGGAAAACTTCCAGACTAAGAGAATGGAAACAGACATTGTATAACTACATAAAAGCAACCAGCGTCAAGCAGTGAAAGACCCCCAAGAACCATCAGCAACGCAACAGACCTTTCTCCTCTAAGACAGTATCATCAGAACACATTCCCCATCACTCTTGAGAAAATGCACTCTGCCTATTGATTCAGCTAGAGACTGGATACACAACTGGTTCTCAATATTCAAATAATTTTTTTAAAAGTCTGGTATCACACTGAAGAAGTAAAGAATGTGATCCAGTTACAGAAGAATGCACGACCGAAAAGACCTGAACGATACATGTCCAAAACTTACAGTTTCCACACCAGCATTTCCTCCCTGGTGATCTGCCCTTTGAACCTGCCTTCAAAACAACTGCGCTCCGCACCCCTCTGGCCAGCTGTCATCACAAGGGCAGGCACAGGGCATGCACACATCGGTCGAGTCCTCCCACCTGCTGAGGGAGTCATTTCTGCATGAAGTGCTCCTCGGCAGCAGCTCCTTGCTCTACTCGCGGAAATGAAGTATCACGTGGAATTCCATCAAAGTCCATTTCCACAAGATACTCCTTAGGAAGGGGCAAAGTGTAGTCCTGTGAGGGCTCTCCACACACCATCAGCTCAGAAGGGACTGACCTTGCTCACCCCCTCCCATTTCTGCAACAGTTCCCAGTTCATCACACGTTTGCCCTACGTGCACCCAAACCCTGTAACAGGTGGCTCAGGGGATGAGAGCACAGATTGAAAAGGGGGACACACCTAGGAGCCACCTTTTCCCCCTTCCCAGAACCATGCTAAAGGCAGCTTTGAAGAGGCTGAGACCTGCTTTGAAGAGCTGCCCTTGGCCTCTTTTCAGGTCCCACATCTCTGTAGGCTGCTGCTGTGATCCTTCTTATGAAACGCATGTCAGAGGACTACAACCAACCTACACTTCCACTCCTTATTAGTACGGGGACCTCATCTTGTCAGCTCTGGACTCAGCTCAGTAACTCCTGTAGGGGCGTCACCGGGACATACATACACCACACGTTGCACGAGGCCACACAAAGAGGAGTTACCCAAAAGGGAGTGTGAAAATCAGAACCCACTTCTTTCCATGTTCTCTGCTTTCTCCATCACCTTCCCACACAGACGCAGTCATCCTTGCAAAAGACAGAGCCGTCCTAGAGTGTGCAGGGAGCCACTCTGTCTAGTCGCCAATTTTACCTTTAACAAAAGCATTGTACAGTTCTTTTTTCGAAAGGGAGGATTTCAAGCCTCATCCATTCAGAATATCAACCCTCAAATAAGGATAAACCAGAGCCTCTTTCCAAACAGCTGCTTTCTGACAGCATGAGGCTCAAACAGGCTTCAGGGGTCACAGAGTTCAGCCATCTGCCCAAAGAAAAAAATAAGTGTGCCGTCCTTCCATGTGAAGATGTCCCTCCTACATCCAGCACGGCACAGTCAGGACATTCAGGTGCAACCCTCAGGAAGGGGTCCTGGGCAGTGGCACCAAGGACTTCCTTAGGTCCAGTACTGCACTGAGCTGCCCAGCAGACTCCCCTCCAGGGCACTCCTCTGAGTGGGGCTGGGTGGCACCGGGGCCTCTGCCATCACTCAGACATGCGTCCAAACTGCACTCTATTTACCAGGCAAGTACTTAACCCCTCTGCACCTGTTTCCAAATGGGAACGACACCTATCTGGCAATACTATCACCAGAAGTCAAGCAACACCGTGTGAGCTACCTAGCAAAGTGCCTGCCTTAAGGTAAGAGCTCAATAAATGGTATTCACAGCCCCTGGCCCCTCTTAGTATCAAACTGGGCTAGGCCCTTTTCAGATTTCACAACTCGTACTGCTCCCCCTGTTGGCTGTACACACTTAAAGAAACAGGAAAGTTAATAATTGGGATGGGGCTTCTCATACAGTGCTACCTTAAACAATCCAGATGCAAACTCACTTGAACCACGCAAATCTATCTGTCCTCAGGTGAAAATTCCCACATTGGGGGCATCTCTGCCATTACTGATGGGAAATATGGCATATTCTCACATATTTACACGTGGGAGAATCTAGCTGATGAAGTCACAAAACCTAGTTCCTCTCAGTTCCTCACGGAGAGGTCTATCCTTTATTCTGTAATTCACTTTTTCTCACTGGATTCCAGCGTTTTTTCACTAAAAAGGTGCTTTATGCAAAGAAAACTCCCAGACATCAACTGTCCATCACGTGGAACCACCAAAACTAAAAGGAAATGTGCTCTTTTCCTCTTCCCACGGACATTGTCAAAGTACACACCTTGCGTGGCAACATCACTGTATGAAAGTTCATTTTACAAACTTCCATGACTACTGTCAGCCACAGCCTCCACTGAGGTTCGCCAAGCAGCCTAATTTGTGTTTTTGTGTTAGCCCAGCCACCCCAGGGTACAGTCACACATGTCGCAACAGTCAAAGACATCCCTTTCGCCTTTGACCATTTTTCTCAACTGAACAGGTCCTCCTTCTCTTAGACTTTGGATTATCCCCCATCGCTACAAAGCAGAGTTCTTAACCTGAAGTCCACGGACGAGCAGCAGAAAGTTCAAGAGCCTCCTGAAATAATTACAAAATTCGGTGTAACTGTGCGTTTTTCTCAGGATAAGATTCATACCTTCCGTGAGATTCTCAAAGGGGCTTATAACCCCCCAAAAAGATTACGGAAAATAAATAATCAAGTAAATTTCTCGGCTCTTCCTTCATTTAAAGGATTTGCCTTTTGAAGCAAATTGTGCAAGTGTGTTGACATTCTTCCATCACCCACTTTACACTCGCATACAAGGTGGACGTCCTTAAACCATCTTCCCAAGACGCCAGAACTTGGAAGGAAAACATCAAAACACTACGGATACTTTTAGCAACAGAGAGAAAACATATAAACACTAGCGATACTCTTAGCTAGACGTTTCACCCAACAAGCGCTTCTTCCTTCCCCCTAAAACCCCTCCTCGCTGTCCCGCTCACCTGCCCCTCGGTGGCCAGTTTGAGCCCGGCCTCCCAGGGGCGTCGCACCACACCGACGCCTGTGTCCAAGCGGAGCCTCCAGGCAGGAGAAGCACCCCAATGCCGCCGCGCCGGGAAGGGAGCACATCGACTCCATCGCAGCCGCGAACTCGGAGGCCCGGAGCATCAGGTGCTCAGGCGAGAACTCACAGCTCCCGCTCTGCTGCGGCGGAGGCACGCGGACCCGTTCCCGGCAAAGGCCCCGGCGGTTCCTCCACGGACAGAACCGAAGGGAACCCGGAGGCTCGTCTCCAGGCCGCGCCGAAAACAAACTTTCCGAGCACTTCCACCGCGACGGCCGGTGACACCTCCCCGGCTCCCCCGCCCTCTGCGCGTCTGTCAGCGCCCCCGCCGGGCCGGCGCCGCCGCACCGGGGCCCGGGCTCCCCGCGGCGGCCAAGCGGCGCCGCCACGGCGCCCGCGCTCCCCGGCCCGGCCGCCTGGCCGCAGGTGAGGCGCCGCCCGGCCCTGGGGACCCCGGGCCGCCCAGCCTCGCCGGGCCCCGGCGGCCGCCGCGCTCGACGGGGTGACGGGCCTGCGCACCCCGGCGGCCGCCGCGCACTCACCAGCTGGCTGGTGGTCCTGGCCATGGGCCCCGCGACGGCGCGGGCGCCTCCCCCGCAGCGCTACGCGGCTCGTCGCCTCCTCAGCGTCCTCCTCCCCGCGGCGGAGCCCCAGCAATGGCCGCCCTCATCCTGCGCCCGCCCCGCCGCCCACCGCCCCCCGCCCCCGGCGCCGCCCCGCCCCCGCGCGACGCCAGGCGGGACTTCCGCCGCGCCGCAGCCGCCGCCCGTGCCCATTGGCCGCCCCTGCCGTCGCTCCGCCGCGGCCCGGGGAGGCCCCGCCGGCGCCTCCGAGCCGCATTTCCGGGTTGGGGCCCAGCGGGCGGGAGCGGCCTGGCCCCGCCTACGGGGGGGTACCCCGCGCGAGCCAATCCCGGGGCGGCGGGCGGGGCCGGGCGGGGGAGGGGCGAGCTGTCATCCCGGCTCCCGCGCCGGGAAACTGAGGCTCGCAGATGCCGAGGCCAGGGCCTGCCAAGGTCATGCGGGAGGCAGCGGCGGGGCCGGGCTCCAACCGGTGGCTCGGACTCGGGAGCCGGGCTCTGCGTAAACACGAGAGACGCAACTTTACGAGTTGCAAAACTAAGACGTGTGCACGGAAGAAAATTTAGGGTATAAAGTCCTAATTATAAGGCAGAAAACAGTCCCATCTCATCACTGCTAATAGTCCCGGGGACACCTTTAGAACTCCCTTCTTTGCTCATAATTTGTTTTTTTGATAACGATAACGATAAAGATGACTTGATGATGATAATGATTATGACGTTGAATTTTTTGGTATTTTAGTTGATGATGGTGATGCTATTGTTGGTTTTTTAAATCGTCTTTAAAATATACATAAAATTTACCACCTTAACCGTTTTAGGGTACAGTTCAATGGCATTAAGTACATTCACGTTGTTGTGCTATGATGATGTTGTTTTAAACAAAATTAGGACCATCTTTGTACCTAAAGGTTTGCATATTTTAAAATAACGTTTTTTCTATTTCCAAAAGAAGTTATTTTAAACAATAACAATTTAGACAATGTAAAGAAGTAGCCATAAGATAAATGAATCCATAATCCCACTGCCAGAATTAATCATCGAGTAGCAGCGAGGCCACTAACATTTCCTCAGCGCTTACTCGTAGCAAGGAATTGTCATGCCCAATCTCATTCTAAACCAGCATCCCTGCTATTGTTGCCCTACTTTTCAGATGAGAAAGCTGAGGTGTGGCACAGTTCTGTAACATGTCCTAGGTCTTGCAGTGCCAGAACCAAGATCTCGATATCCACATGGCAGAGGCTGTGCTTTGACCATTAGACTACACAGCCTCTGTTTGACTGTCCAGCCTTCCAGTCCTCTGTACATTTACTTACCTTAAAAAACAACAGGGGGGCCAGCCCGGTTAAGTGTGCATGTTCTGCTTCAGCGGCCTGGGGTTCACCAGTTTGGATCCTGGGTGCAGACATGGCACTGCTTGGCATGCCATGCTGTGGTAGGCATCCCACATATAAAGTAGAGGAAGATGGGCATGGATGTTAGCTCAGGGCCAGTCTTCCTCAGTGAAAAAGAGGAGGATTGGCAGCAGTTAGCTCAGGGCTAATCTTCCTCAAAAAAAAAAAAAAAAAAAACAGGGGCCAGCCCCGTGGCCTAGTGGTTAAGTTCGCGCACTCCACTTCTCTGGCCCAGGGTTTCGCTGGCTCGGATCCTGGGCACAGACATGGCATCACTCATCAAGCCATGCTGAGGTGGTGTCCCACATGCCAAAAACAGAGACACTCACAACTAGAATGTACAACTATGTACTGGGGGGCTTTGGGGAGAAAAACTAAAAAAAAAGAAGATTGGCAACAGTTGTTAGCTCAGGTGCCAATCTTAATAAAAAGGCCAGTGTAACCCATACTCCCTAGATAGACTCACGCTGTTCTGACATTCCCTTTTTTCACTTAACAATGTATGGTCCTGTATGCCTTACAGCTCTCCTGACATCTGACTGCCATCTTCCTCAGGTGAGAGGGGTGCAGAGGACTCCCCCGGAGGAAGCCTATAGTTTACAGATTCACGTATTGTTCAAGCTCCCTCCTAAACGACACTGCAGTAGTTCCCGGACTTTTTCCTCATGAACAAGGCCCTGCATTTAAATCCATGCACACTCTTACTTATTTCCTTAGGATAAATTCTTAGCAGATGGAATTGCTGGGTCAGAGTGTATGTATCCCTCTCAGAACTTCGGATACATGCTGCAAATTGCCAACTGCGTACCCTCTCCAGACACTCTCCCCTCGGGAGACACAAAGACAACATCAAGATAGATACCAGCTCTGGCCACCATAGCAAGCCACATCCAACATTCAGGAACATTGGGAACAGTATCCTACATCAATAAGCCCTACTACACATTAAGAGCAGTGGATCTGATTTCACACCACAGGAGCCCCATGAACAGTAGGTACCATGACCATTTCTTTTTTATTTTATTTATTTATTTATTTATTTATTTTTGGTGAGGAAGATTGTCCCTGAGCTAACATTTGTGCCAGTCTTCCTCTATTTTCGTATGTGGGCCACCGCCACAGCATGGCTTGATGAGTGGTGTGTAGGTCCATACCTGGTATCCATACACACAAAACTGGGGCTGCCGAAGTGGAGTGCATGAACTTAACCACTACACCACCAAGCCGGCCCCATCCGTTTCCATTTTTCACATGAGGAAGCCAAGGCTTCAGGGACTTGCCTACTCTCAGTCATAGAGTTACTAGGTCACAGAGCACAGGACTCAAAACCAGCCCCGACCAACACTGATGCCCTGCTCTTGACCACTGCACTCAACTGTCTGCTAACAAACCTTATTTTATATTTATTTCAGTCTTCAAAAAGCAATAAGAACTTGTCTTCAGAGAATGCTAGCCACTTTATATGATTTACTTAGTTAATTGTCATCACAACCTTACAAGAACCCCAATATTTATTACCATTTTACATGTGAAGAAGTTTGCCAGACTGTACAGTACATGCAAGGGTAAATATATACATAGCTATAGAGTCTAAAAATATATATCTCACAAGCACCCTTTCTCAGAAAGTTACTGAAGGATGTGCTCTACCACATGAGGGATGCGAGTAAGGAGAGATGAGGCGGGAGCTGCTGTTTTTCATTATAAGCCTTTTTAGAACTATTTGGCCTCTTAAACACTTATGCAAATAAAAATTAATAAAACGGGTATATCTTCTTCCTGGAAATGCTAGGAAGCTCTCACTCATTACTGTAAAGCTATGCAAGGATGTTTGTGACAGCACAGCTTCAATATGAAACAAAAAGCGAAAAAAGAGAAAAAAACCCCAAAATATTTATCAAGAAGAGAATGGCAAAATAAATTATGGTACATTCATCCTGGAGAATTCCATGCAGCTCCTGACAAAAACAGGGCAAAGCCCTAACAAGCAGCGAGAGCAAAGAAGCAAGTTGCAGAATATGAACTGGGTGGGGGGTGGGGGGGGTGTCTTTACTTTTTCTTTTTTTGTGCTGAGGAAGATTCGCCCTGAGCTAACATCTGTGCCAATCTTCCTCTATTTTGTATGTGGGTCACTGCCACAGCGTGGCTGGCAAGAGATCTGAACCTGTGAACCTCGGCTGCCAAAGCGGAGTGTGCTGAACTTAACCACTAGGCCACAGGGCTGGCCCCTTTAAGTTTTTAATTTTAATTAGAGTCTATTACACCAAAGCATAGCCATGTCGTTCTTGAGTAATTTAGAGAGAAACAGGGAGGGGGGAAAAACTTGAGGAGAAGCTACACGGTGAGTTTTAGGGCCCCTGGAGCAGGAGGTGGAGCAGAAAGCACCCCAGCCAGCCTCCAGGGAAGGGGTGGGGGGGGCTGGCTGCAGCCCTGAAGAAGGCAGAGCAGGCAGCAGGGGCAGGGCTGGGAGGGGCAGCTATAGGAGGAACAAACAACAATTCTCAGTTCTCGCAGGGCATCACTGGCAGCCAGTCTGCAAAGCCTAAGCCAGGCCAGGCAACGCCGCTCCTCTCACCTGGCAAGAGGCAGGACACCCCCTTCATGGGTTGGGTCTGGCTGCCCATCTCAGGACAATGAACAGGAGGGGAGATGGACTCACCTGGCCCAGGGTAGTTCATTGGCACCCCAGCTGGAGGAAGGAGGGGGACGGTCCCCCGCTCCCATCTGTACCTTCCCTGCCTGAACCTGTCCCTGGTGGAAAAGTGAGCTCGAGCCAACAGTGCAACAGCTTGGCCTGACACTGTGAGGTCATGTTCCGCCCAGGGAGGGGCAGGAGGATGACCTTAACCATCCTGGGAGGGGGCTGGAGGGCTGCCTTATATACACAGCCCAGGAGTGTGAAGCACTCACTGAAAACCAGGCCATGCTTGCACTAGGCCTGTTCTACTTCATGTATTTTTCACTCACTTCTATCACCCTCATGGCACAGGGGAGGAAACTGGGGTTCAGAGGCTGTGGAACTTACCTCACATCACACAGCTAGAGTATCAGTCATCTAGAGCCGTGTAACAAATTATCCCAAAACTTAGAGCCATAAAACAACAAGTATTTATTATCTCATGGTTCCTGTGGGTGAGGAGTCCAGGAGCCGCTTGGCTGGGTGGCTCTGGCTCATGGTTCCCTCATAAGGTTGCAGCTGGGATGTCAAGTCATGTAAGGCTGGAGTGCACCCGGAGGATCCCTTCCAAGGTGGCCCATTCACCCAGGTGTTGGTGGAGGCCTCAGTTCCTCACCATGGGGGCCTCTCCACAGGGCTGTCTGAGTGTCTTCATGCCACAGCAGCTGGCTTTCCCCAGAGTGACTGGAGAGAAGGAGAGCACACCCAAGATGGAAGCCACAGTGACTTTTATAACCTAATCTCAGAAGTGATATAGCATCACTTCTGTCCCATCCTATTGGTCACACAGAACAACCTGGTACCATGTGGGAGGAATGGACAAGGGTGTGAATCCCAGAAGGTAGGATCACTGGGGGTCATCTTCAAGGCTGGCCACCATGGCTAGTCAAGGGCAAAGCCAGGATTCTAATCCTGCTGGGATGCAGAGAGAGACGGGGAGAGACAAGGGAAGAGAGGTGGGCCAGGCCCGCATCCATGGAGGTTTTGGGAGCCAGGGAAGGGCTGTACCAGGCAAAGGGGAGGCAGGGAGACCAGTCAGGGAGAGACAAGAGGGCTCACAAAAGATAATGGTGTAGTCTCCTGCTTCTGCCTGCTAAGTCCCTGGTCACTATGCCTGAGATTCCCAAGATGCACTTGCTGGTAGCTGCAGATGGGTGGATGAAAGATGCCAAAGTAAGCCAATGGGAAAGCCACCTGGGAAAATGTCCTCCCATATAAATCTGCTACGTGAGAAAAAAAGTAGACCAGGAGCCAGGCAACAGAAAGTTGCAGGAGATCTCAGGCAAGTAACTTCCCTCCCTAAACCTTGACTTCCCCAGCTTAAAATGGACTGACTCCAAAAATTGGTTAACATCGCAAAGACTGAAAACATCCAGTGTTGGTAAGCATGTAGGGAAATGAGCACCTGAGTGCAGTGACAACAGCAATGTAGGATCTCCTTTAGACCCGGCCAATGGGAGCCCTGAACTGGGCCCTTCTCTCTAGAAGGTATGGTAGGCAGAATAACGGCCTCTCCAAAGATGTGCACGTTCTAATCACCCAACCTGTGGATATGTCATCTTATATGGAAAGGGGGAATTAAGGTTGCTGATTAGCTGACCTTAAAATAGGGAGATTATCCAGGATCATCCAGGGAGGCCCAATATAATCACAAGGGTCCTTAGGAGATGGGAGAGAGAGAAAGAGCCAGGGTCAGGGGCCAGCTCTGTGGCTGAGTGATTAAGTTCTCACACTCCGCTTTGGCAGCCTGGGGTTCACTGGTTTGGATCCCAGGCACAGACCTAAACACCACTCATCAAGCCATGCTGTGGCAGCATTCCACATAGAACTAGAATGACCTATAACTGGGATATACAACTACGTATGCGGCTTTGGGGAAGACCAAAAACAGAGGAAGATTCACAACAGATGTTAGCTCAGGGCCAATTTTCCTCACCAAAAAGCACACGTTAAGAAAAATAAAAAAGAGCCAGGGTCAGAGAGACACAACATGAGAAAGGCTTGACTGGCCGTTGCTGGCTTTGCCAATGGAAAGGGGTCATGAGCCAAGGAATGCATCTGGAAGCTGGAAAAGGTGAGAAAACAGATTCTCTCCTACAGCCTCTAGGGAGAATCAAAGCTCTGCCACCACCTTGATTTTAGCCCATTTAGACAAATTTCTGACTCTGACCTCCAGAACCGTAAGGTGACAAATTTGTGTTCTTTTAAACCACTCAGTCTGTGGTAACTTGTTAGAGCAGCAGTAGGACACTAATACAGAAGCCCCTTCTCAGATCCTGCTGTGGCCACACGAGGGAAGAGGAACCCACAGGATGCCATCCGCCTTCTAGATACCCTGAGCAGGTGGCCAGCCCAGTGACGCAGCGGTTGAATTCGCACATTCCACTTTGGCAGCCCAGTTTGCCGGTTCGGATCCCAGGTGTGGACGTGGTACCATGTGGCAAGCCATGCTGTGGTAGGCCTCCCACATAGAAAGTGGAAGAAGATGGGCACAGATGCTAGCTCAGGGCCAGTCTTCCCCAGCAAAAAGAGGAGGATTGGCGGCAGATGTTAGCTCAGAAGTAATCTTCCTCAAAAAAAAAAAAAAAAAAAAAGCAGCAGCCAGAGGCCCGGCCTGTGACCTACTGTGACCTTGTGGTTAAGTTGTGCACGCTTGCTTCCGCAGCCACGGTTAGGTTCTAGGAGCCGACCAACACGGCTCTGCAGCGGCCATGCTGTGGTGCGGCTGACATACAAAAAGGAGGAATATTGGCAACAGATGTTAGTTTAGGGCGAACCTTCCTCAGGGGAAGAAGAAAAAAAAGCAAAGGGCAAAGCACAATCAAAAGTGCAATCCCAGTTCATAAAAGAAACCAAGCCCCCAAAGTGGAAAGAGGTTCAGGATCAGGTTGGAAGGAATCATACCGAGCTGTTAACTGGGTCGGGGGGAGTGCGAGGCACGCGCGGCTCAGAGAGGGCTGCGGCTTCGGGGCCGAGCTGGGTGCCCCCAGAGCTGCCCGAAGACTGAGAGCGAGGAAGGATGCTGAGGAGGTGGCCCAGGAGCGGAGACGCCCTTCCTCCACCCTCCTCGTGCCACCCCCGTGCTGTGTCCACCCGGGCTCCCGACCCCGGACCCAGGACAAGCTCCGAGGCAGAGAAGCTCCGAGGTGGGGCGAGGCCCGGTGAGACGGTGGAAAGGGGCCGGCGGGGAGCCCTGCCCCTCAACTCCCCGACGCCAACGAGAGCGGGGCGGGAAAGAAGGGGCGCAGAAGGGCGCGAGGAGAACTGGGGCGTACGGGGACCCGCGGGGGCTCGACGGGACGGTATAGGGAAGGACGTGCTGTAGGCGGAAGGTGCGCAGGGAGGCGGGACGCAGTGGGACGGGGAGGAGAGCAGAAAGGGCGGCTTGGGGTGCAGTGCGGTCCGCAGAGCGCGGCGGCGCGTTGGCCCTCCGGGTCCCCGGCGCCCGCTCTGGTCGCGCCGTCTGGAGCTCTCGGCTGCGGGTTCGCCCCTTAACTGGGTCCGAGGGCGACCCGTTTCCCCATTGCTTGGCCCCAGCGCTTCCCTTCTCATGGCGATCCTGATTGGCCGCCGGCAGAGCCCGCCCCTCAGGAAGGAGCCTCTTCCACAGCAAGCGAGTCCCCGCGCGCCGCACCCATCCCGGTCCTGCAGACCCGCGTAGCCCCGGCGCCTGGGCCGCAGGCTAGGGTCGCGACAGGAGCGGGTTGGACCGGCCTCACTGTGAACGCCCCGCCCCCTCGGGCGTGGGCGCAGCCTCACTCTCCGCTTGATTGATACCGTCTGTCCCCCACTCCCAAGGCGGCTTGTCCGGCCTGGACCACCCAGATCCTCCGCACGAATCAACGCCAGGCCCCGAGCGCATCGCTCGCCGCGGTGTTTCCGGTGCGCCCGGAGCCCTCAGCTTCGCAAGGGGTCCCCTCATCGGCGGGGCTCGAACCCGGATGCCCTCAGCGCAGTCCAACAGCGTCAGGTGGAAGCCTCCGCAGATCCCAGGCCCGACCGCCAGGTGGCCCTCGCCCCCATGCGGGGAGTCGTATCGCGGCGGCCGCCCAGGCCTAGCCCGTCGTCCCTGCGGAAGCTCTCACCAGCACAGGGCCCTCGTCCTCCCACTCACGCACAACACAGAACAAGCCACGGAGATGCTGGGAGCACGCCAGGCCACCTTCCCAGGGATCCCACTCCAGCTCCTCCCTCCAGTGAAAGTCACCCCCACCCACCAGTGACTCAGGCACACACCTGGCCTCACCTCCCCCACCCCACCCAGTCCGCACCTGCACTAGGGCAAGCCTGTCCCCCACTTAACTCGACTGCCACCCCACAACCAGCCCCTCAGGGTCTTCTTGCTATCCTTGGCAACCCCCCGCCCCCCGCAGCAACCGGAAGGATCACTTAAAACGTCAGCGCATCTTTGTTTAAAAGCCTGCAGCCTCAGACTCATGGAAACAAGGTGAACTGTGGGCGCCAGGGCTGGGGGAGGGGATGGGAGCGTGTTTATTCGGTGCAGGGTTTCCATTGGGGTGAGGAAAAAGTTCCGCAGAAGACAGCGGTGATGGTTGCACAGCAGTGTGAGTGTGCTTAACGCTACTGAGCTGTAAGCTTAAAAATGCTTAAAATGGTAGATGTTATATGCATTTTACCACAACTTTAAAAATAAAACCCTCCAGCAGCTGCCCCCACACCTCAAATAAAACCCAAACTTCCACGCAGCTGCAGGGCCCTGCTCACCACGCGTGACCCCTCTCCAGCCCCCTGGGTCCCCTCTCTCCAGCCAGGGTGGCCATCTGTGTCTCCCACACTAAGCCTGTACCACTGCACCTTTCTGGGGCAGCACACTCTGCCTGAAGTGCTGTCCCCGCTGGTGCTGGCTCCTACTATCTCTGGCGTCAACCTTGCTGACCACCATCTCGACTGGCCCCTCCCTGGTCCTCCCAGAGAGGCAGCACGATGATGGGTGGAAGTGAGGCCCCAGAAATGGCTGGGCCAGGCCAAACCCTGGCCTTGGTGCTCACCAACTCTGGGACTCGGTGCCCGTTTCCTCATCTGAGAAATGGGGGTGACAAATAAGAAATCCCTTTGGATTTTTGGTAGCAGAACAGAGCAAGGTTCCGAGAGCACTTAGGTGGCCTGGCACCAGCTGAACAGCACCTCAGCCCCCTCCCCACCAGGGAGGGGCAGGCAGATAGCAGGGGCCCTGGGCCACATCCCTCATGCTGGCACAGTGCTGGAGCTGCTCAGTCACCACCGGGCACACCGCATCCCGGCACCCCAAGGGCATGTGCCCCTACCCCAGGCCCCCACTCAGCCCTGCCTCATCGGTTGTTCTCCCCAGGTTGTTCACCCTCAAACACAACAGGAACCTGTGACCATCTTTGTTACTTTGGGCTTGGAGACACTTCCTCTAGTGGACTCCGCAGCAGACGCAGGAAGAGTGGTGGCCAAACTACAGTCAATGGTGTCCTGGGACACAGTCTGTGCCCTCCTGCTCTGAGGACTGCACCCGTAGGAAGGAGGAAGGGCTGCACCAAGGCCAGCCGTCTGAGCCCCACATAGTGGCTGTCTTCAGAGCCAGCAGCGCCCCCTGAAGCCCACTCGCCTCGAAGCTGGCTTACCCAGGGAGCCCAACAGCCCAGGCTCCCCTGCCCCATTCCATCCATTTCAACCAGCACGTCTGCCTGTGGGTCTGCAGGCCTCAGACACACTTGTCTTACTGAAGGGCCCTGTCACCTCCACTGGAGCCCCACAAGGCCCCACAAGGCTAGGCTAAGCTGGAATCCAGCCACTCTCAACCCTAAGCAATGAAGAGCCCCCCAGGAGACCCACGAGCATGACAGCGGAAACAGCAAGAAGCCCTGCTTTGAAGCAAAACTCGGAGACCAGGCAAGCCCCTGTGGGGCGCACGTTTATCCAAGCCAGCCAGCCAGCCACCTCGCAGGCCCAGGCCGTCCACCTGAGGCAGGGCTCCCACTCGCTTCCTGGAGACCAGCTCCTCGATGGCCCAGCCCTGACAGTGTCCGGCTGGGGCTGGGCGTCCTCCCCAGTTGTGGTCCTCAGTCACTGCCTGGCCTCCTCCGCCTGCCATACCAGCTCGCCTGAGATGTAGGTAGCCCGGACGTGGAGGGAATCATCAAGCACCACGAAGTCTGGGTCAGAGATGGGCCGTGAGAGGCGGAAGGGGTGGGGCCACTGCCCCCCCACCAGGCCGGTGGGGAAACTGAGGCCCAGGACACAATTCATGCAGGACGCCCTGACCCTTCACATACTGACTGAGGCCCTGGAACCAAAATTCCTGGCAGCAGGGGATGAGGGACAAAGCTCCCAGCAGCCCCTTACCTGGCATTGTCTCAGAAGCCAGAGAGCGTGGCCTGCTGGGAAAAGGGGCCCAGGCTGCGGCTGGTGGCCGGGCAAGGCAGTCTGGGCACAGGGAACATCCCACCCACTCACCCTGGCCCCCTGAGAACTCCCAAGTCTTCAGGTTGCCCAGGGCCACCCCACATCAGGGCCTGACCTGCATCGGCCCCGAAATCCAGGGTCCCCTTGCGCTTCTCCAGCCCCAGCAGCTGGGCGGGGTGCAGGGACGCAGCCTCCAGGGCTGACTCCACACTGCAGCCTGCTCGGGGGACAGAGCTGGGTGACGACCACCAACCCCCAGCAAGCTCTGCCAGCAGCCCCTCCCCACGATGGCCCCAAAGCTCCAAGTCCCAGGGACGGGGGCTGGGGGCATCCTAGGACTCTGCAGCACGTTGGCGAGACCCCGCCCTCCCCCTAGTCTGAGAACACTGCCAGGTGCTGTCTTCCTAGCCACTCACCCATCCCAGCCCCACAGAGATGCTCTCCCCACTGACAAAATGCTCTGGACCCAAATGCCCGCAGCCCTCCCTCCTCCTGGGTCCCAGGGAAAGCAGCCCCACAAGGAAGCAGCAGCCTGGGCATCCAAGAGGCCACCTGGGGCTTGATGCTCTGCCCCGCCCCCTGCAAAGGTCAAACGACCAAACCCAATTCTCTCTGCCCCCACATCACCCCTTAGGCCACAACTGTCACCTGCCCCCTGGCCAGCCTCCCTGCTGCTCTACAGAGCATTTTGGACCTTGGTAGCTCCCAGCATGACGCCCCAGCCCTGGGGTGCTGGCAAGAGCCTCACAGGGCCCGGCCAACAACAACCTCTGCCAGGCCACCCCCTCCCATCCCCCAGAACATGCCGACCCCTTGAGAAGCCTCCACACAGCCTGACCCCAGAGGCCTGACAACCACCTTGCTCCCCAAGCTCCACACCTGTAAGATCCTGGGATCCCACAGGCCCTAGGCCAAGGCCCTCCCTGTCTGGGTGCTGTGGCTTTACCGCCTCTCACCCTGGATCCAGCCATCAGCTTGCTCACCGCCCTCTCCCTGTGCCTGTAAGCTCCCTGCAGGCGGGGCCTTGGCCACATTCCTGGGCACCTCACCAGACAAGAGAGGTGGGCGCAGGGGCCTCATTGGCCCCACGCTCCCCTCCAGCCTCTCTCAGATGCAGCCTCCACCCCAGCACACGTACTCGCACACACACGCACACACCCACCCTCCTCACTGACCTGTGGCCTGCAGGAAATGCCGGACGCAGACGTCCATTGGGGCTATGCTGCCACTCAGTGTCTGGGTGCCTTGAGAGCAGAGAGGGCAAGTTTGGGGGGGCCGGGGGCCACCAGGCATGCTGGGTGGCGTGGGGGGCGGCCAGCAGGCTGGCAGGGGACGACGCCCAGGTTCTTGCATCCCAGCACGGAGGGGCTGAGAAGTGTTCTCATGTGGGTAGTCAGCAGCAACGGGGGTCACTCACCTGCTACGTAGGCCGTCAGCCCATCCACCTCCACCTCCTGCTGCCCCAGTGTGTGACGGCCATTGCCCAAGCCCAGGGCAGGAACAGCATCGGTGACCAGCACCAGCCCTGAGAGGGTAAGGGGCCTCAGGACTTGGTCCACCTGATCTGACCACTTGCCCCCGCCCTGCCCAGCCGCTCACCCTGGGGATGGGCCCGGTGGGCGATGCGCAGGGCAGCAGGGTTGGTGTGCATGCCATCGGCGATCATCCCGTAGAAAATGTGGCGGCCTGGGGGCAGCCGGTCACTGGTCAGGAGCCCCACGATGCCCGGATCACGGTGGTGGAACTGGGCAGGGGCAGGCAGGAGGGGCGGCTGAGCAGCAGGAGGAGCCCCATGTCCACCCAACAGCCCACCCAGGAGCCAGGGCAGCACTCACAGGCAGCATGGCGTTGAAGAGGTGGGTGATGAAGCTGGCCCCACTCTGCACCGCTTCCTCCGCAGCCCGCAGATCGGCCACCGAGTGCCCTGCATGGGGGACCCAGACTCAGACTCTGCACCCAGCCCGGGACCCCCAGGTGGGCCCAGCCCCGGAGGCAGGCCCCTTACCTAGGGACACACAGATGCCACGGGCTGTCAGCGCCTGGATCACCTCATGGCTGCGACCCAGCTCAGGGGCCAGTGTCACAATGCAGACGTTGTCCAGGGAACCATAGGTGTCCAGCACGTCCTGGAAGGCGTTGGCCTCAAAGGAGCGCAGGTGGGCCTCGGGGTGAGCACCCCGCTTCTCCCGGCTGATGAACGGGCCCTCCAGGTGCACTCCTGGGAGGAGGGGAGCAGATGGCTCCAGCAGGCCCCTACCCTGCAGCCCTGCCCTCCCTCCCCACTTGGGCACCTGGAGGGGGAGGGACTGCCAACAGATCCCCAAGGAGCCTCCCAGGGTGGGGGCAGGGAGAGGGGTCAGCCACTCACCGAGGACCCCTGCCCCATGGGGACCACCACTCTTCACAGGGATCTGAGGAAGGACCTGGGGGGAACCAGCTGTTAAAGCCCTGCCCCCACAGCCCAGCTGAAGTCAGAGGTCAGAGCTCAGCCCAGCCCCCACTGGCCTTCCCTCAGGTGTTAGAAGATGGTAGAAGGCCCCTACCATGGTCAGGGAAAACTCAGTACTCAGAAACAGCAGGACATAGACTTAGGAGCACTGAGAAATGACAGGTCCCTGGGGACGTGAGACTGGCCTCCACAAGGACCAGGAGGCGAGCAGAGAGTTCCCAGGCAGGGGGCAGGCACAGAGCACGGAGGGTGACTCCAACCGCCCTGGCCCTCAAGGGGGCCCCAGTCCAGGCAGCAGCTAGGACACAGAAGAGGGTGCACGAGAAGGGCCTGGACCCAGACAAGGCACTGGCCCGGCCTCCCTGAGCTGGAGGAGGAGGAAGCAGGCCCGAGGCAGGACGAGGGCATGTACTCCAAGCAGAGCAACGGGCAGAAGCAGGGGCTGGGCAGCCAGAGAGCTCAGTGTGATGGGGCCGGGGGCTCGAGCACTGAAGGCATGGCCATGCTGTGCCAGGAGCTGGACGTAATCAGGAAGGCCACTTGTGTGCGACAGGGGCTCACCTCACGTTATATGCCTCAGAAGTGGACAAGCAGACAGGTGTCCCAGCCCACCCCCTTCAGGATGTGGAACAGGGAGCAGGACACGGCAGAGTCCCTGGGGTGAGCCTGCTGGACCAGCGTGTCCCCATCCCAAACAAGATACAGGGAGTTTTAAGAGGCTTAAAACCAGTGTGACAGAGAGGATGGGGGAAGGGCAAGCTGAGTTGGGAGCCCAGCACGCAGATGCTGGCAGATATGGGCAGGCAGGCGTGGTGGGGACAGTGAGAAAACAGGCACCACACGGCCCCCCACTGGCTCAGGCCTCAGCAGCACCTGGTGCCTTGGGTGGGGGGGACCAACAACAGGAGCGGCGTTAAAGAATAGCCGGGTTCTCAAGTGTGCCCACCAAGCACCTGGGGAAGTAAACCAGAGGGTCTCTAGGAGAGAGGCAGGTCGAGGCACAGCAGAAAATGGGGCAATTCAGTGGAAGTTTATGTTCTTAACGCTCTCAGCATGTCACCAGAAAGGCCCAAGACAAAGGACTCAGGGACCTCGACCTAAGGGAGCCTCCAGCTGCCCCCAGGCTCGGTGTTCCCAGTGGCCTGCTGGTCCCTGTCCTCCCACAGAGCCGACAAGCAGGGCTCGCCAGCAGGCTGGACAGGCCTCTGAGAGGAGACAAGGAGAGCGCCACAAACAACAGGACAGAGCCGGCAGGGACGTAGAGAGCCAGGAGAGGCGCACGCGCAAGAAGCCTCACACCCATGAAACAAGGATGGAGTGTAGGAAAAAGGAACATCTGGGAGGGAAAGCAAGCTCTTGCAAATGAAAAATACGCAAGTACTGAAGTGAAAAACTCAAGAAAAGAACTGGAAGGTAAAAACCAGGGAAATGTCCAGAAAGCAGCGCCAAACAGAAAGAGAGAAGAGAAAAGAATTACAGAAGCCATCCAGGAGGCCCAACAGTGGAATAACAACTCCCAGAAAGAGATGACAGAGAAATGAAGGAGAACATCAAGAAATCATTCAAGAAAAGCAAACAACCAAAACTGAAATTCCAGATGGACAGGGCCTGCTGACGGCCAGCACAACAGATGAACTCTCCCAGGACCCCACACATCACCCTAAGACTTCAGAACCCAGGGGCAAAGCTTCCAGAGGGAAGAAAGAGGTCACACACAAAGGATCAGGGGTCAGACGGTGTCCAGCTTCTCATCAGCAACCCTGGAGGTTAAAAGACAATACAGCAATACCTTTAAAATTCTGGAAGAAAATGACTTCTAACCTAAAATTGAAACCCAGCCAAGCCACGAATTAAGAGAAAAGACATTTTCAGACCTTCAAGATCTCAAAAACTTTCTCTCCCATGACCCCTTTCTCCGGAAGCTACCGGAAGATGTGCTCCACCAAAATGAAGGCATAGGAGCAGGCCGCGTGGCTGAGGGCTTAAGTTCGTGCGCTCCGCTTCGGCGGCCCAGGTTTTTGCCGGTTTGGATCCTGGGCATGGACATGGCACCGCTCATCAGGTCATGCTGAGACGGCGTCCCACACAGCACAACCAGACAACCTACAACTAGAATACACAACTATGTACTAGGGGGCTTTGGCGAGGAGAAATTAAAAAAAAAAAAAGATTGGCAACAGATGTTAGCTCCAGTGCCAATCTCTAAAAAAAGAAACAACAAAAAAAACGAAGGTGTACACCAGCAAAAACGACGACACAGGATTCTGGACAGAGAGACTCAGCAAGACGAGGCCAGGCGACCCCCCAGTGAGGGGAGATCCCAGGACAGCTCGACCCCAGGAGCGCCAGTAGCCAACACTGGAAGAGCAAGTCCCAGAGGCTTCCGCAGGAAGACAAACTGATGGATGGCTCGCTGCGTCTAACTATCCCAAAAGAAGAGCAGGACAACTTGCAGAAAGCATGGCGTTGAGTCAGTAGATAGAAACGCCACGCAAACAATGAATAGAAGCTCCCGGGGAAACACAGTTGACAGGCAGGGAAACGTAACTGAGCTGTGGGTCCTGAGGACTGTTTTCACCAAAACCACAGGTAACTGGGGACCACGGGGATGATGGGGCCGTTAGGGCCCGAGAACGTGCAAGGGGCTCAAAGAGAACGAATCCTTATCTTTCCTGGGGAGAAGCCAATACGCACATAAATTGCCCTAAACCGAAAAGACAAGTAGGAACAGTAGCATATTTTTGAGCGATTTGAGGGCAACCTCCAAGAGTCACCTAAGCTGAAAGTGACTGCCTCCAGGCGGGAACCAGTGGCAGCAAAGAGCTGCTGTTTTTCCTAACAGGCCAGGTGACGTATAAGAGTTCATAAAGATTCAAAAAAGAAATAAGATAAGATAATGGCTGAGTTTTTCCAGAACAGAGTTTTAAAAGGGAAAGCTAGAGAGAACTAAGTGGACAGAACAGAACAAACAGCAGTCTGGAGGCGAAGAGAACGAGACATGTTCAAGGCAGGAAAGGTCAAAGTGTAGAGGGCATGTGGCGCCAGAGGCAATGGCCTGGCTGTCACCCTGAGGTGCCTCATCTTGGCTCAGCAGACAATGGACCTGATGCACAGAACAACGCAATCAGATCTTCCTCCTGGCAGGGTAGCAAATGGTGAGGCTGGAGGAGAAGACCTCAGAAAAAGAGCAGGTGGTCTCAATGGACCAGAACATGATGAAAAAGGACCTCAGTAACTTCCAACAAAGTAGCAATCCAGTTCTGCCCGGTATGATGGAGCTCTGGACGAAGGTGGGGTGGATGGTGGGGGAGATACACAAGTGAACAGTCCTGTGGTTTCTAAGAGAATATCAGTATTAAATTTCTCATATTCAAAGTGCTCCACGATTTCCACCGTAAATCAGCTTACTCTCTGCCTCCCCTCATCCGGTAAGCATTTCTGGAGGATGACTGGTGCCAGGAAGAAAACCTAAGATAGAATTCCTACTGGCTGCGACTCTTTGCCCTGAGGAAGACCTTGCAGTCTGCATCACGCTGGCCAAACATGCAGTGTGTGAGGGCAGGGGCAGACAGCCCAGCTTCAAGGAGGCACGCAGGGCAGCTGGTGCAGCAGAGGGAGCAAAGGCCTGTGGGCAGAAGGCTCGGGAGCAGCAGAGGACACTGCCTGGAACGGCTGCAATGTGCTGGGGGGAGAGCAGAGCTCCATGGCAGGGAGGGAGGGAGTGCTCAGGAGAGTGGTGTTTATCCTGCCGATAAAGGGGGCTTGGGGTGGGGGACTGTGAGTGACGTGCTGAGCCCTGTGCCTTAAGAATGTCACTCTGGCACGACCCAGAACCAGGAGAGCACTGGGAAGCTAGGGTGACAGTCACTAGGCCTCAGTGGTGGGGAGCAGGAAGCAAGAGCACAAAGGATGGGGGCCAAGAGGGTGGGCATGTCCAGAACCAGGGGCCAGTTTGCAGCAGGAAGATGAGCTTAGTTTTCAGTATCTGACTCTGTGATCGAAGAGCTGGGAGAAATTTCCAGAAAGATACCCATACCTGACATTTACTAAGTGCTTAATATGTACCAAGCACAGTGCTGAGTACCCACCTATCCTAAGAAAAGGATACCATTATTCTTCTCACTTTAGGTCTGAGGAAACCGAGGTTCAGAAAGAAGTAAGGAGGGCCTAAGTCTCCCAGTTGATGAGTGAAGTCAGGAGGCCGGGACCAAACCCAGAACCCACAGCTCGCGGCCTCCCACAGCGCCCAGCTGTGACTCTGCGTCCACACACCCAGGAGGGAACCCCACAGTGGTCAATGCAATCCCTGATCCTGGAATAGATCCTGTACTGCAGGAAAACTAGAAAAGTGGAAGAAAAATAGTAGGTTAAGAGATAGATAACTACTAATTTTCTAAAGTCAGTAACTCAATTGCATTCACTTAAGAGAATATCCTTGCTTTTAAGAAAAAGTTAAGCATTCAGAAGTAAAGAGGCTTGATGAATGCAACCTACTCTCAAATAACTCAGAAAAAAAGAACATACAAACAGAAAGAATAATAAAACGTGGCAAAGAGCAAAACTAAAGAACCTGAATGAAAAATACAATTTTTTTAAAGGAAAAATGTACCACAGATGACTGAATCCCAAGACTTGCAAATGAGGAAAGTGGAAGGATGCGGGGGTGTAGACAAGAGCAGCAGGAAGGCCTGGGGTAGACAACGGAGCTACTTTCTGGAAGGTGTTTTCACCAGTCACAGCACAGACAGGCTAGGGGGGATGGGCCTGAAAAACAACTATGGATGTGGCAATGAGAAAGTCCCCAGCAGCCCTGGTCAAGGAGGCAGCTTCTGGAGCCCGGAGGCAGAGGCGGCCAGAGTGCAGGGTGGGGAGGGTGGGGGGGTAGCACAGGTGCTGAGGCAGCAAATGTGGAGGCCTGTGGGGACAGCTGCAAAGGCAGTCCCACTGCGATGGCAGAGTGTTTAGAGAGACCAGGCAGAGGGGACACCTGAGTGAGAAAGCCCAGGGGTGACGCCCCAGGCCCCGGCAGAGAGAGGCCAGAGGAGGAAACGAGATGCAGGCGCCAAGGTTGTCTATGGTGGAAAGAAGAGGAGAGGAGATTTGAAAATTCAGGGGCTGGCTGCTTCTGGAGCCCTCTTCGGAGGCAGAGAGCCTGACCTCACCTTGTGATAAACCTCGGGTGGTGAGGTGACCAAGGTGGGGCAGAACGAGGTGACTCCGTGAGATAGGATCCTCTGGGCCACCAAGGCGACCCCCGAACCCACGTCCTCCGCGGCCTGAGAAAAGTCAACGCCAAATCCACCTGCAGCCACAGAAAAGAAGGGGTCGCAGCGTGCTCAGAGGTCCTCCCCTGGGTTCCCACCCCCTGGGCCCTACACCACACCGTTGATCTGCACGTCGATGAAGCCGGGCGCCAGGATACAGCCCCCGCAGTCCCGCTGCTCGTCGGCCACGCGCCGCTCCTCAAAAAACAGCTTCTCCGGGTCCAGAATGCGGCCCTCGCGCACCCACAGGTCCTCCCTGCGGACAGCGCGGGGCGGGGACTCGGACCGCCTGCCCAGCCTCCGCTCCCCGCCCCGCGCCCGCGCCCGCGCCCGCCGGAGCAGTGCCCAGCCCCCGCCCCGCCAGCCCCGCGCCCCTCGAGGCCAGCCGCGCCCGGGTAGCAGCGCCCGGCCCCCGCGCCCCGCGAGCAGCAGCCGGCCCCGTGCCCCGCGCCCCCGGAGCAGCGCCCAGCGCCCGCCCCGCCGGCGCTGCGCTCACCTGAGCAGCGCCCTGCCCCGCAGGATGCGGCAGTTGGTGAACTGGAGCACCGGGGCCCGCGCCGCGCCCTGCCCGCCGCGCATCGTGAGCCGCCCGAACCCAGCAGAGCGGGCGGCGCCGGAAGCCCCGCGGCCGAACCGGGGGCCCCAGCGTGGCCGCGCTCACGTGACCCTCAGCTGACTGAGGCGCGCGCCACGTGACCCGCGCGCCCACGTGACCGGCGCGCCCCGCAGTCCGCAGTGACGCGGCGGCCAGGCTCGCGTTCCCCGCCCCGAACCCGCGCCCACAGCAGCAGTGCACACAGGCGTCCAGTCACATCCGAGAACTTTATTGGACACGGCTCGGCGCCAGGCCCCGGCAGGCCCAGCACGCGGCCCCGCGGCGCTGGCAGCCAGGGCTGGAGGAGGGTGGGTCCATCCGAGAAGTCTCAGAGCAAACGGTAACCCACAAGGCAACACTCTACCTAAGATTACTATATAGCCGGGAGACGGAGGGCTGCTCCACAGACGCATGAACAGGTCAAATCTTTATAAATAAACATCCAGTGAAGAGAAAATGACAACTCTAATTCATCCTTATACACAGAGCACTCTAGGGCAGGGGGTGGGGGCGGCCAGGGGCCTGCATCCTCACTGGTCGGGAGCCTGGATGGGTAATGAGTGGGCCCAGATGTCCACGGCACGGGGCGGGTGGGGGCAAGGCCAGGGGCAACGGACAATGGGCACTAGGACACTGCGCATTTACAAGACCAGCTACTGGGGGGACAGCTGCCCCGTGCAAGTGTGTCAGGCTGTTCGTTCTGGAATGAGGAGGGGGTGGTCTTTACATCATATTCTGTGGCTGGTGGGCTTGGAAAGGCTACTTTGTGGAGAGAATGAGGGCGACGATGAGACCATAGAGGCCAAGGACCTCAGCGAAGATGAGGATGAGGATCATGCCCACAAATAGCCGAGGCTGCTGGGCAGTACCCCGCACGCCGGCGTCCCCAACAATGCCGATGGCAAAGCCTGCTGCCAGCCCGCTCAGGCCCACACTCAGGCCCGCGCCCAGTTGGAGGAAGCTCCTGGGGAAGAGAAGACACAGGATCTATGTTAGCTGCTAGCTGGGCAGGCATGGGTCACAGGCCATGCTCCCTCCCCAGCCCTCCCAGCCCTGTAGAGTGGCCTGACCCTTGGGAGGGAGGGCAGGGCATGGGGAGAGGGACCCAGCACTGACCTGTAGAGACTGATGTCATCATTCAGGGAGTTGGCGATGAGGACTGCCACCACCAGACCGTAGATAGCGATGATGCCAGCCATGACCACTGGGATGATGGACTTCATGATCAGCTCTGGCCGCATGACGGACATGGCCGCGATGCCTGTGCCACTCTTGGCTGTCCCATAGGCGGCACCCAGGGCTGTAGGGGGTCGAGGGGAGAGGTGAACCCAGAGCACCTGAGGCCGGGACCCTGGTGGTGGCTGTGGCCCAGTTGAGGGCCACCCCAAGTTAGCACAGGCAAACAGGAGGTGAAGGTGGCACCCAGCCAGGGGCAGGAGGCAGCCACATAACTGTTTCTTTCCTCTACCAGAGGTCCTTATGGCTGTCTGGCCCATCTGGCCTCCTGCTCTGCTGTGAAACCCTGACCTATGCTCACCAGCAGTCCCCAAGTCAGCCACACAGACCCTATGCTCTCAGGGAACCTCAGCGCAGCTGCCTGCAACCTACGAGGAGGAGCTGCGCCAGGTCCTGCGGCCCAGTTACACAGGGAAACAGGCAGCCAGGCCCCTGAGGCCTTGCTGGAGATTCTGAGCATCTTTTGTCCCACCTGGAGTCCCAGGCACTCAGGTCAAAAAGGCCTGAAAAAGCAAAGGGAGACTCCATGTCAGCAGCCCAGAGAGCAGGCCAGACTCAGCTCGCCTGCCCAGGGGCTAGCCCCAGAGACAACTTGCTAGAAAGCCGCCACCGTTGCAGGGTCAGGGGAAGCTGGCCTGGCAAGTCCTGTCCTCTCAGGCCAGAGCTCCCAACTCCCCACCACTCCCAGCCCTGGGACACACTGCTGGGAGCACTGGCATCTGTGTCAAAAGGCTGAGCACACCCTCAGCCACACAGCAGGCCTGGACCCTTGAGTTTAGAGAGGAGAAAGGGTGAGCCAGGGAGAGGAGAGGGCACAGGGAAGACAATGGGGCTGGGGAGCCATCACCCAGCCCAACCACATGGCCTCGGCAGACCTCCCAGAAGCACCCCTGCATGCAGTGGCCTTGAGCTCACAGAAGTCTGGCTTCTCCCAGAGGCCTCCAGTAACGGGGGTGGGGGGTGGACTCTAGGGTGGCCTGGTCTCCTCTGATGCTGTCCCTCCTCCTTCTTCCTAGGGTATGCTGCCTTCATGAAAGCTCTCCTCTCCTGGCCTCTGTCCTTGAAGTCTAGAGTAACTTTTGCCCAGAACAGAGAGCCACAGGGGGCCCAGGTGGCTCTTCTGATTCCAGACACCTGCCCTCCAGGGTCCCACTGCAGTGCTTGAGCAGAAGACAGCATGAGTCAGAGGTAGAAGGGACCAGGACAAATCCCAGCCATTCCTCTTCACATTTTATTCACCTATTTGGACCACAGAAGATGCCTCCTCGGTACTCAGTGCCCAGCAGGATGAGGTCAGAGGCGCTCAGGGCTCTAAGCCTGGCGAGGAGACAGACACAGCACCGCCAAGCACAGCAACATGTTTCAGGAGAGTGGAGTGAGGGATTCTGGAGAAGGGCTTTGCAGAGGTGACATCTGAGCGGAGGAGTGATGGTGAGCAGAAAAAGGATTCCAGACAACATGAAGAGAGGTACCAACCAGGATGGCACCAGATTGGGAGTGACTGCAGGAAGGAAGGAAGCAGGGGTTGGGGCAGAGGGTGCACACCGCGTCCTCCACACAGTCAGGGGGTCACCCCAACACTGCCACGCCTAGACACTCAGAGCCATCAGCCCGGGGCTTGGGGGTGGTCTTTGTGAGGCCTTCCCAGGAACTCTCCTGGTTGCAGTGTATATTTTGGGCTCCTACTGCAGGCCCAGCACGTCAGGTTGTCTCTCATATGTGCAAGAGGCCAATACCATGGCTGTTTACTCAAGGGGCAGAGCACAGGCTGACACAGGGCACTGGGTGGAAAACCGACCACAGGGAACTCAGCATCCCAGGTAGCAGGACCTTGCCAGAGGTAGGAAGTGAGCTGGGCCTTTCTCTGCAGAGGACAGCAGGAAGGTCATATGGCTGGGGGCAGGGAGGCAGCAAGAGGAACAAAGGGAAGAAACAGAGACAGCCATGAAGAGGGACAAGCAGACTGGCCCCAGCAGCAGCAGGTGTCCGGGAAGGCCTTGGATGCCAGCTCTGGAGGCGAAGCCCGATGGGCTCCAGACTGGGTGAGGGACAAAAAGAGTGGGATCAGGAGGCAGTTCTGGGCACACAGGACCAAACACAGGGTGTCCATGAGCAGAGAGGAAGTCACAGAAAACACCGAAAAGGAACAGCCGACAGCCTCGAGGAAGACACGATGAAGAAAGAATCGACAGGACTTTTGTCATAAATTAAGAAAAAGGGGAAGCTGGAATGGGAGAGGAAGATTGAGGAGGCCCGAGAGTGGACCTCGTTCCTTTGTAAGAAGACCAATCAGCCAAGCACTAGACAGGCCAGGGGGGGTTCTAGGCCAGGAGCTGGGGACAGAGCTTGGAGTCGGCCCGGCAGCAAGACCTAAGGCCGGAGAACTGAGGGGCCTGTTCAGGTAGGCACAAGGAGTAGATGAAGACAAGCCCTGGGGAAAGTCAAGGTTAGAGAGAGAAACGAAGTCAGAAGTTGACCCAACTGGCCAAGTGAGAAGTTGGCCACTGCAGGACCACATGAAGCCCTGTGAGGGGAAGGGAGCAGGAGTGGGCAGCCCCAATCCTCAGGAGCCCGTGGCAAGCAAAACTCCTAAATCAAGGATATTCTGTTCTCAGTAACTTCCCGAGACCTGCTAGTCAGGCTCAGTCCAAAAGTACCAAGTAAGTTCTAGAAGGAGAAAAAGAAAAGCATCTGGTGACCAGAGGGAGGCCGGGCACTGGGTACAGAAAAAGAGCTGGGAAGCAAACTCAGGGCTTCAGGAGCAAGCAGTGACAGCCAGAATTCAAGTTTCACGATGGCCCCCAGTGCCTGGCACATAGGAGCAGCTCAGCCAAGACCTGTCGAATGAATGAATGATAGCCAGAGGTAGTAACCCACAGGTGGCTGGGCAAAGCAGAATCCCTGGACGCAGAAAGCAGAGAAGGCTGGGGGAAGGGGCAGGGCAGCCTGTTGGCAGGTGCTGGAGAGGCAGCCCCTGAAGATGTGGAAAGAGCAGGCGTTGCCTGGGACAGAAGGGGAAGTCCAGACCACTTCTCCCACCACAAATGACCCCTTCCTCGCACATGATGGGAAGGGCAGGGCTCACTCAGAAGCTCGTGACTGGCAGGCAGGTCTGGGCAGAGGGAGGCCCCCAGGAGAGCAGAGCCCCCTAGCCCCCACGCCACAGGTGTTTACAGTCAGCAGGGACTGTTTGGAGTCCAAACCCTCCACAGACCTGCACAGGCAGCTTCCCCAGTCCACCAGGTAGGGTGTGGCAGGGCGGGGTCATCAAAGCCAAAAACCAGACCTACGCAAAGAGACCTAGACCAGGCCAGACCAGATCAGATCAGTCCACCGGGGCTGCAGCTGGGCCAGGACTCACCTCCCTGGGCCCCACATTCCTAGGCCTAGCCCAAGGGCCTTTCTCCCAGGGAGACCAATTTTCACCAAATTTGACACCCCAGGACTGTCAAGACCCAAGTTCAAAACCAGGGTGCCCTCCAGAGCCCAGGAAGGACCCTTCTCCATGCCTAGGGCAGATCCTCCCAACTCCAGGCCTCAGGGAAGGGGAGGAAGGTCATTCATTCATTCGTTCGTTGGTTCGGACCTGAATCTCCTCAACACTGACACTCCATGCTGCCCTCTCACCCACCCCGAAACAGACCTTCTCGGCAGGCGTCCACACACACCGCGCTGACGCAGGCCTGCCTCCCCGACACCCGTCCCACGGCCTCGGCCTGTCTGACCCTCCTCCCCCAATTCCACACACTCCCACCCCGGGATCCCGGCCGGCTCAGCCCAGCTTTCCCCAACCAACCCGCACACGGACAGGGCTCTTGGGGAACAGCGACG